TTTTTTTTTTTTTTTTTTTTTTTTGCTTATTGGTATCATATCTTTAGATATATGTTGCACAAATAAAATTGGAAATTGCTTTTAAGAGAATATAGAATGAAGAGGCTAAAAACAAAACATATGCTGCAGCAGCAACTTCAAGTTCAAGTTCCAATTCAATTACAACAACTCAAGTTCCTTGAAGAAATTCTAATCCCAAGAAATGCACATAAAGAAGTTGAAACTGAAAACATTACATCATCTTAATTATTACTCTATACCTCATAAATACACTAAAGAAAAGGCCACTTCTTTGATTAACCCTGCTTCTACACACCCTGAATTTCTTGCTTCACCCTTTTGATAAAATCTTCACATTTCTTATTCAATTCATCAATACTCAGCTGTTCATCATCATTCTCATCATCATCATCATCATCATCATCATCTTCTTCTTCTTCTTCTCGTGCTTCATGATCAATTTCTCGATTTTCAATCTCGAGGCCCGGATCAAAGATCCCTCCTTTTTCCACACGATCGCTTCCTTTTACTTCCAAGACCTCGACTTTCATTACACCATTTGCTCCTTTTGTTTCATCGAATTTACAAGCATCAATTCCAACATCATTCGTACTTATCTTGACCGGCGCAATCTTGCCTGCGAGCCCGGATGTCCGAATGATCAGCACAAGAATCCCATTGCAGATAAGGAATATGAAGTTTCTCTCAGTAGTGCAGTTAAACAGTTTGATGGAAAAATTGGAGCTAAAGTAATCATAGGATTGGACAAAGAAAGGAGCTAGTTTTGATGGGTGATAGAATAAGAAAGAAAGAGTGGAAAGTGAAAACAGAACTTGTAAGGCCATCTTCAGATAGTAGAATTCGTCTGGATCATGGTTAACACTTTTGATGTTGCTGTGGTTGGCCATAGTTTTGAGAGGGATTTTGGGTAGGAAAATTAATGTTGTAAGAGGAGAAAGAGTACTTTTTGGTTAGTTTTCAGTTGATGGGCGGGCATGTCCTTTCTTATAAAGCAAGCATTTTGGAGTGATAAATGGGCTATGAACCATGTTCAAAGGTGGACCCCCATTTTGGATAAAGACTTAAAAAAATTTCTTTGTTGAGAGTAAATGGTGTATATTCACTTCAAATATAATATCTCATATTAGGGCGAAATCAACTTGCCCGTGTTGGATTAACATTCACCCTTGTGGTATGTGTGCGTTGGTAAAAACCTTGTGACTGCACTACTCTCAGTTAACTTATTGGTGTAGAATATTATTATTATTATTATTATTATTATTATTATTCTCATTCGTTCACGCTTCCCCTACATCATTTGTTCTAGAGTTACTCTAGTAGGATCGAAGGAGCTCTCAATTAGCTTATTATGTAGGAAGAATGAACTCTCAATTAGGTTATTACGTAAAAAAATTGCAAGTATTCTGAATAATTTTAATTCCATACATTTTTTTTTTGGTTTACTTCTTTACTGGTTTTCTAACTTAAATCTAATCCTAGATCCAATAAAGCAGAGGTGTAAAATTAAATAGCTTACAACATAGTCAAAAATCAAACCGACACTTTAGTTCAAGTATAGTTAATGCATAGGACCGGATTTTTCAGATGGTAGACTTTCGGTTTTTTTT